TCAAGTTTCGGTTAGATCTGAAGCGAGTGGCATGTCTCGTAAGTGGGCAAGGTTGAATGTTTATACAGTTGATGTTAGTCAAGGGTAGTTCTGTTACATGTCTGACTGGCTGGCTTAAAATCCATGGACATACTTCTGAGAAGGATATTGAAGATACATCTGAGCTGTTGCACAGAAAAAGAAGAAAGTTCCCAAGATCTTACTGTATATTTTTCCCATGTGATTTTTTTTCCTTTGTATCTTCTTTTAAAAATTCAAATACTTATTCACAATAATTTTTTTTAAACCATCAAGAGACACATATTTCATTTGAAAGAATTTCTGTGTTTACTGTTAGTTAATATTTTGATTATTTTCATAGAAAAGTTAATCTTTTGATATATGCTACTACCCGTGTTTCTTCCTTATAAGGCACATATTTATTTTGGTTGTATTGTGACACACTAGGCAGAATTGTATTCTTCCACTTAACATTAACTTATGTCATCTAGGCACGGAAGGTCCTGGTGTCAGTGTCTCAGAGGAGAGACAGAGTCCTGCTGAGAGTAGTGGCATAACTGTCATCTATAACCCTTATGCATCCCTTTCTATTGAACAACAAAGACAAAAGCTGCCTGTTTTTAAGGTATGGAAGTTCTTTTTGGTATATGTAATCTGTTGTGTGATGTCTGGCTCTTATGTCTTTTTTTTTTTTTGAAAGAACAGTATAGAATCACTTTACAACATAAAATAACTATTTTATGACCTTGTTCTCTTTATTTATTGGAATTGATTGTCCTGTTTGACAACTGTTACTGACAGTTTTACAGGCTTTGTAGATTTATGTTATTTACTATATATTGTACATGTCATTTGTACATTTTAAAGAACTGTTTAGCTTTTGGCAGTAAACTCCATGTAAAATGAATTTACTGTGTCTGCTAGATATGTAAATATTGTAATTTTAATTATTTTCTTATTTTTGTACACATCTGGTTTTGATACTTAAATGTTATCTTCTCTTTCAGCTAAGAAATCACATACTTTATCTAGTGGAGAACTATCAAACTCTGGTGATTGTTGGGGAAACAGGTTGTGGGAAATCAACGCAGATTCCGCAAGTAAGTGTCTGTTTAAATTGGTAAAATCAGGTATTCCCTCAGGGGATTTTACATGAAACATTAAACCAGCAATGCAGAACTGCACTCTGAGAATGGAATTCACCTATGCTTGTGTGTGTGACCAAAAGGAGAGAAATGTAAGGAGGAAATAGCAGGAGCTGGTATCTCTGTAATATAAAACCTTCTTCCACTACAGGAAAGGACCATACGCAACAAATAAGTTTATGGTGGTACAAAGAGTAGTCACTGTGCTATAGTAGGTGTTTATTACTGTATCAGAATCATGTTTAAAGTTTTGTTGAGAGTATGTTTTTAAGAAGGGAAAAAAGTACACTTTTCTTACAAGCTTTCCTCTTGGAAATTTTTGGGATATTGTATTTTTTGTGGTTTTGTAATACTCACTCTTTTGTGACAGGATGAAAAAAGTCTGAGAATATTTCAAAGTTAGTTCTTGATTTTTAACTTAAAAAATTGCAGACCAATGATGAATGTCATCTGCTTCATTGTGAGCACAGGACTTGTGCTGCTTAGCTTTTTTTCTTAAAGGGATTTTTAAAATAAAATAAGAGAAAAAAATGAAGTAGTTCAAAAATACTTGAGACCCAAAGAACTACTCTTAGATGCTTTCTGCAAACCTATGTGCTTTGGAAGTATATATTGTACTCTATTACCTTTAATAGTGAGATTAATAATGCACAAAATCTCTAAGTAACTAATTTGCCTAAGGTCATGCATCAGTTAGTGTCAGAACCAGGAAAAAGCACATAGTGTAGAGAACTAACACCTGGCTGTAATCACAGCATGACCGATTAATTTCTTATCCTCAATGTTTGTTTGCAGTACCTAGCAGAAGCTGGCTGGACAGCTGAAGGAAGAGTTGTCGGAGTGACACAGCCTCGTCGGATTGCTGCTGTTTCTGTGAGTTTCTCCATGTCCAAATTTTCCCAATTTGTTGTCATTATGACCTCCAGTTTATTACCAGGTTTTGCTGAACAGCATGAATCCCAATGGCCTGGGCTCCTGAATGAATAGACATTTCTGCTTATCTTCCTCACAGAATTGCTGGTACTATACGCTGAATTCTGAAGGTCTTGCCAAAGGTTCCAAGTCCAGAATTGCAGATGTAGAAGCTTTGAAATAAAATTGAGTGGTATCAGCAGAATTGTGTACAGAAGTCAGGGCTGCGCAGGATTGAGCTATGATTGATTCTGGACTAGAATTGTGCTTGTGTGACCCTCAACTTTCACAAATAAAGTAGTGATGTAAATCTGTGTACAGTGACATAGCCAGTGGAAGAAAAAGGAGGTTGTGTACCTCTTTCTAGAAATGTATACCTAGTTTTTTGAATCTTTTTTTCAGTGTTTTTTCTTGATGGGGGTTTTGGGTGGTGGGATTATTTATTTATTTTTGTTTCCCCTTGTAAGAGTGTTGGGGAAAAGAAGAAACAATTTTATTGTAAGAAATCTTTTCATATACATAGTATGTCTCGGAGGAGAGCATAACATCAGCTGGATGTGCTATGAGAGGAAGAAGAGGAGATGCTAAGGGCAACAACTTGTACTCTGTGGTAATAGCCTGCACAGAAAGCATCCAGTGCTCCTTGTCTTCATAACTGCTGCCAAACACTGACTTAGTGGGCTGAAGTTTCTGCTGCAGCATTCTTTTTGTGCAGAAAACTGAGGTGCCATTTTGTAACCCTCATTTTTCCTGTTCTTTATAATGTATTAAAGTGTACCTGCAACAAATCAACTTACGTCTCTGGTAAAAATATAGTAAACTGAGCAGCTGTACAACTTGCTATTTCATCTCATCCAGTATTCTTTAACCAGATCCAGTATAGTTAAGAAAAGAGTCTCTAGCAGTGATCTGCCTCTTGTGCTTTGGGCAGTCCGCCTGCAGTGTCCTCCCTTTTCTCCTTCATAGGACAACCAGCTGACAATGCACAGTTCTACAGGATGCAACGATTTCTCAGGACAAACTTACTTCTCTTCTCCCTTTCATGTCTTACCACATTATTTTTAAGCCTAAAATAAAAAGATTACTTAATTATGGCTTAGTATATGGACACAGTGGGATTTTTCTTCAAGAATCTTTTTGCAAACTGGCTGGACTGTATGGCTGTTGCAGGGAGATGAGAGAGATAGCTGATGATTTATTGCCTTGTCTTGAACTGAAAATGATCTCTGATTTTAATAGATGTGCTTATCTATTTTCCCATCTAGAGCATGGGGACTGTCAGAAGTAAAGATAGGTAGCTGCAGAGGCATAAGGCATAGTTTAGACATTCTTGAACTTCTGCTTGCGTTACCCAGACTGACAATTATCCTGAATGCTTGGGCTGAAAGTGATGGAGTGATGAGCTTTCAAATGAAATCATGAATTCACTGCCTGTTGCTGTAGTTTCGAATATAACTCAAATGTCTGAAAGTAGCTTGCTCTTGGAATTCTACTAGGACTAATGTATGTATTGTGGAGTTTTATTGTGTCTTTAGCTATTAAATGTCTTTGTAGCTTGCTGAAACCATGGCCTGATAATACCTAATATTCTGTAGAATAAATCTGAATAACTCAAGATTTTTAGCTAAAGGAGCTATTGGCTTAAAACTGACCCAGGGTAGTACTGTTTCAAAAATTTTTGCTTCTTTTAATTATTCTGCCAGACCTCTGTCTGTTTTCCGCAAGGAAGATTCTGTATTATGAAAAGTACAGTAGCATCTTTATAAAAAAAAAAAAAGCCTGAGTAAGTTCAGGAACAGACCAGCTAAACTGATAACTTTTTTCTGCATGCCACATACCTGTACTCTTCCCCTTTTTGCATGCCAGCTGTGTTCCTAAATTGCACTTCCGCAATTGCTGGTAGGTGGTCCTTCCCCAGTGTTGTGACTGGTGGAGTGGCTGCCTTTGTAGGTCTGTCAGAGTACTTATCGCAGAAGGATGCCTCAGTTGCTTTCCTGAGTAGAAGCAATGTGAAACAGATTTATTAAGTTACACTAAGACATTTTAAAAGTATTTACCACTTGTATGTTCAGTATATGCTGTTGTGTCGAACAGAATTTGGTGTTTCAAGAGAACAAATAATTCTTTGGAAGCACTAGCTCTGTTCCTGTTTTGATGCCAGTTCTCTATGGATAAAATAATAGTACAATGAAGAAGTGTGCTGTGAGCTGTTTCTTGTTTATAAGAATCTGTTTTCTCAGGTTGCAGGCCGAGTTGCTGATGAAAGAGGTGCAGTGTTGGGGCATGAAGTTGGATATTGTATTCGGTTTGATGACTGCACAGATCCACAGGCTACAAGAATTAAGGTGAAACATGAACAGTGTGTGGTTACTCTGAAAGGGTTAGCTGAAACTCTTCAAGTACTTTTGCAAAATTAATGTGAACCTTGTGATACCCTGTAAAGACAATAGATAGCATTTCAGTTTTCCAGGTGGGTACCGCAAAAGTGTGCTTGAAATGGCTGTGGCTATCCAAACCTTAATAAAACAAGTACATGTTCTATTCTGATAGTCTGGCAGCCACCATTTTAAAACTAAAGGAGATTTTCAAGACGGGTATGACCAGATGTTGGTACAGTGCTAGTGTGACCTGATGTATCACTCAAAGTCATAGTGAAAAACTGCAGTGAATCACAGCTAAAATGTACTCAACACCCTAAAAATAGATTTTGATTAAAAGCGCAGATAAAACATAAGATGAGTAGGCTAACTGAGAGTAATTTGTTGTGGATCAAATAGCAAGCTTTGCAGCTGTTCTTTAGTGCTGTGAGCAATATTAATGTTGCTTGTGTTGCTACAGACGAGAGTTTGCTTTAGTTATGCTGGAATAGCAGTGATGATGAATGAGACAATTTACTTTTTTTTTTCTGAAGCTAGTATCCCTTTTAAAGTGAAAAAAATGGAGATTTTTGTTCATTAAATGCAGCTGAAATCTTGTTTTTGAGTGGGATGATTAATCATTTGGAGTTAGAAATTTGGAAGTTTTAGCTTGCACACCAGTTCCTGCCTCATTCAAGGCCACAGCTGGAGTCCCAGATCAAACTGCTGTTTGATGGCTACATAAAACTGGTGGGTTTCCACTGGCTAGTAGGAAGAAAGTATTAAATTAAAATGTTTTGTTTTGTTGAACTGTTAAGGTTTGCATTCTGGTCAGAAGTGTGTGATAGATATTAAGTAGCCTACTTTTAGAGGGTCAGGGCTGAATTGATGCACAGAGTGTTATTGGTAGAGCAGATTTAGCCATGTTACAGACAAGAGTAAAGAAACTTCTCTTGCCATGTTCCAGTGCTGTCAATCTGTTATTCTTTTTCAATAGAAAAATAAATAATTTTTTAAAATTCAGTACCGATTAAAAAGCGGGCACTCTGCTTATCTCTGCGTTAGCACTCAGAAATACATATTTGGCTTCCATAGCTGAAAACTGATCAGTTTAATAGATCATTAGAAAATTAAAGGCAAGGAAAAATTCAGGCAAAAGCCTAGAAAGTCGTCTTTAAAAATCACATAGCTAATCAAGACTACTTGATAGGGGGTTTTTATGTTTTTCTTTGCATTCACTTTTAGTTTCTAACTGATGGTATGCTGGTGAGGGAGATGATGGCTGATCCTTTATTAACAAGATACAGGTAAGGAAACATGGAATGAATGCTTGCTGAAGTGTAATTTGATAAACAACTGCTTTGCTTTTTTTTTTTTTAGACTGAGGTGTGGTTGTTATAAATTAAATGCCAAAAGATGTGAAAATTATTTTAGGAGTTTGACTTCTTTATATTGTAAAGACTATTAGAAAATCAGTTGATCATTGCAACACCAAACCTGGCAAGATTTGGTGCTGTGGTTTTGGAACAAGAGCTAAATGGGTCTCATGGAGTCTGATTTTCATTTACTGGTTTTAAGTTCTCTTTTTCTTTCTGATGCTAATAAAAAAAAAAACCCCACAACAGTCAACAAAGACAGTCTATTCTGGGATCCAGAAAACCTATGCAGTACAGTAAAGATAGACCTTTATGATTCTACCCCTTTTCAAAAGCTAGTCTGAATAAAGAATAGTATGTATGTACAACGTGGTGTTACGTACATTTTTCTTCCTACTTTGTCACTGCACTTTTTTAACTTCCATAGTTTTCTAAGTGGGTGTAAACAGTAATAGTCCATCAGCAGATTTCAAATAATGATATTTCTAGAAGAAGGGAACTGATTCTAGTGTCAATCAAACCATTTCTGAAATCTTATATTTCTGCTTTATTTACAGTGTCCTCATGCTGGATGAAGCCCATGAAAGGACTCTTTATACAGATATTGCCATTGGCTTACTTAAAAAGGTAATTTTTCTTAATGTTCTCTGTAACTGTTTTCAGTTTCATCCTTTTCGTTAAACCTCTGATCCTGATGGCTGATTAGTGAACCCATTTGAGAGAAGGTGATTTCTAGTTCCTCATTTATCCTACAGCCTCTTGTACATACCCAACTATTTACTTTAGATATCTTACACTCAGGATCCTCTATTTCCTCCCCCAGTGCTGAAATGTCTCTTTAGATGATATTAGCAAAAAGGTAGTCTTCATTCTGCTGCTGCTGATCATGTGAAGTGATCTGATAGGGGGTTGTTGACTTTAACCTACTAAAGATCTTACTCCCACTAGAAATTGAGTAAACTATAATGATTACAGACTGAATGCTCTTAAAATGAATATATATAAAACTCCAAACAGTCATCAGGTTGTTACATCTATGGGGTGATATGGGTTCTTCAGTTCATCAGCTGTCTTGTAGTTTCGAAGTATTTTTAAAGAGAAATTATTGGTAATCTGGATGCTCTAAAACTTGGTTCTAGCCTTATATCTCAGAAAATAGTTTTTACTCTGGATGTTCTTGGTCTCTGTCCTAGGTTCAAAAGAAGCGTGGGGATCTTCGACTGATTGTGGCTTCAGCCACCTTGGATGCAGAGGTATAGCTCACAGATTTGGTTTGAAATGAAGGGACTTTAAGTGGCAGCTCCGCTTATATTTATATACAGCTCATCGTTTGTGCTGCTTGCTGCTTGTGAAACACTACTGCTGTTTGAGTGGTGAAGGAGAGAGGGAGTGCAAGAAAAAAGCTACTATAGTTAGGTTACTGTGTTTTGTTTTCATTTTGTACTAGCAAACTTCTTTGGAAGTGAATTTAAATACGAGTCTGCTTTTCATATGTTGATGCATTTTTTCCTCTTATTGATATTGTTGTATAAAAAGATACTCTCTTGGCTTAATCTGGTCTAGTAGAAGACATTGGTTTAGCTCTGTTTTGCTGATAGCAACAATTTGAGACAATCATAGACCAGTAAAAATAAGTGATAAATGTGTAGATTTGATTTCAGTGAGATCTTACTTAGTTACCTGATTGACTTGTGGCCTGTGGAAACATGTAACTTATTAAAATGTTGTTGATTTAATTTTAAGTAGGAACAGAAGAAATGCTCTTCTTGATCAGAGCAGTGTTTCATCCAGCCCACTGTTCTGTCTGTAGCAGCAGCAACAATAGGAGATGCTGATGCTGTTTAGGGAGAGCGTATGAGCCTGTCCACCTGCTGTGAGTCTGTTCTCTTTGAGCTGCCTCAGCATCCGCAATGGTTGTAATAGAGATATTAGACAGTACATTATTCTAGTATGTGTTTATGGACCTGCTGTTTGTTAATTTGCCTTTGGATCCACTTGATGAAGCTGTAAGTTTCCAGGACATCATGTGAGAGCAATTTTCAGAAGTTTGCCACCTGCTGTATAACAAAGCACTTTATTTAATTTCTTTTAAACCTGCTAGTTTCATCAAGGACCTCCTAGTTCTAGTAGTGTGGGATTTTTTTTTATTTTTTTAAAAAAATCAAAACCAGTTTTACGTTTACTTTATCTGTCACTTTTGATTCTGTAAACCTCAGCTGTGTGTCTTCTCAACCTTCGGCTCCCCAAACAGAGCCCCAGCCTTTTCAGTCTGTCCTCATAAGGCAGCTACTCCATCTCCTTTATCATGTTCATTGCTCTTCTCTATTTTTCCTAACTACACTGTGTCCTTTATGAGATGTGGTAGTGAGAGTTTGCATGTAGCACTGAAGATGTGGGTGTACTGAGATTTCCTTTAGTGGTGAATATCATATGCCATAAATCTTGATAGTATACTGTACTTTGGTAGTACTTGCATTACTATATATTCCATACATTATACTTTATAACGTTACAATACTTTGCCTTTGCAGAATTTTAACTGCCAGAAATCAAATAGTTTACAGTTAATGTAAAAATAAGTTAATAGGAACAAAATGGTTAGCATGACTATGTAAACGTTTGTTTAAATACAGAAAGTTTATACCATCTCTGTAATGGTCATAAAAGTTGAGATGGATTCTGGGTTCTTAATGTTCATTCTTTTGCTATTATGTGTTTAAAATACTTCATGGCAGTAAATCTAAATTTATGAAGGTGTCTCACAATGCGTAAATCAAAAACTTACATAAATGAGCCTAACTCTGCTTTTACAAAGTGAGATCTTGGTGTTCAGTAAGAGCTGTGAAATTTACTTGCTCATCCAAAAATGGATGAGAATATGCAAGCCCTACCCAAAACTTTTAGGACCGATCGTTTCTAAGTTCTTCTTATCTTTGACTTTGCTATTGTTGTAGATCCAATAAAAAGTTTATATATCTGCTTTTCCCAGCTTTATCAGCTGATCTAATTAATTTTATTACCTCTTTTTGATCTTTGCTTCTCAAAGTAATAACCATGCAAGACAGTGTATTTGTGCTAAATGCCTGAAACCCAGACAGAATAGAAAGCAACGAAATCAAACTTTAAAATTTTAAAATTGGCACTGTCAAACTTATGAAGAAAACATCCAAGTCATAGTAATTTAACTTCTTCATGTCTTTAGGTTTCTCTCTCAGTTCTTTGAAATATCAAACTGAAAGTGTTTGTTTTTATTTTAATGTAGAAATTCAGGGATTTCTTTAATCAAAATGATACCGGTGACCCCAGCAAAGATACCAGTGTGATCCTTACTGTCGAGGGGAGAACGTTTCCAGTGGACATCTTTTACATACAAAGGTGTGTTGCTGTTTGATCTTGTCAGTGGTGATTAGGAGAGTGTGAAACTGTGGTGACATTTTGTCTAGGTTAGAGCTCAGAAATTCCCAGACCAATGGTGAGAAGGTATAACATCCCATTTGGGAAACATTTGGGTATTGCTTATAGCAGCAGACGTGTTTTTAAGCTTACTGTAGTGTAAAGGAAACAAATTAATTGCTGAAAGCTGATTCCCAAGGATGCATCATGAACAAAATGTGGTATGGCTGACCTATAGTATCCAAAAGGTAGCTCTCTATTTATTCCTTATGGAAGTGAGGAGTCTGTACTTATTTTTCTGCTAATGTCTCTGCTATTTTCTCTCACTGTAGTCCTGTTCCAGACTATATAAAATCAACTGTGGAAACTGCAATGAAAATTCACCAGATGGAGAATGATGGTGATATACTGGCATTTTTAACTGGCCAGGTATAGACATAAGCAATTTTTTTACTTTACAGCTCTGTATTGTGGGCTTTGTGAAGGCTCCTCAGTCTGCTGCTTTCCTTAACTGTGCTTACTTTAATCTCATTAAAGATGACAAACATTTCTGCATTGATGGGAGCAGTATTAGCCCAGTCCCAAAGACCTGTAGAAGATGTATGACCTGGATTTATCAAAGCTAGTGATGGATGATAGCTTTTCTCATTTAATGCTGTATGCTTTCAGCCTTGTTAATAAGTGGAATAGCGTGTGGTTTTTTTTGGGTGCTAGTCACACCTTCAGAGTTGTGAAATTGACAGTGAGTTGTCATTAATAGTTAAGGAAAATGGAATTTACATTTGTTAGGCTTAACATCTAAAGTCTTTGACAGAAAAAACAAATTGCTATGAGATAAAAATTTACTAGTCTCTTCTGCTCTATTTATGCCTGTCAGCTCACTTTGCATCTGAGAAGAGTAAATGGGAGGTAGCTTATTTTTCCAGTGAGGAGCTACCTTGAAAAGCTTCAATAACATCTTGCATATTTTCAAAAGAAATTCTTCATCCCTATTATTGATTTAACTTTGGAAGAGTGAATTGAGTATCTCATGAGACGATGTCTGAACATTTTGTTGTCTATGTTTGAGTGACATGCCACAGTTGATGTCTGATATTAAATGTGAAGCTGAGCAATAGGTGTTAATGCTGTTAGTGTGTCATTCCCGATCAAGACCCACAGCATTCTGTACTGTCAAAATAGACTGGCCTCCCATTTTGCTCTCACAGGTTGAGATACACAGGAAAATATGCCTGCTTCCTCCTGAACTTTGTTCACTCCTTCCCTTGTGATTTTGCTTGTGTATTTGTGATGTGACATTGTCTCAAATAACAATGAACATAAATATTTATATAAATATATGTTTATTATAAACAGCAATTTGTGTAAGAATATTACAAAATTGAGGGAGCTAGTCAAAAGATCCTGGAGTTTGAACAATTAAAATGATATTGTTTTGGTGCATTTTTTATATACAGGTGACAGCTATGTGATGTTAAAGTGAAACCTCTCTCATTCTGTCCCTTGTTTGCACTGGCTCTAGGAGGAAGTGGAGACTGTTGTTTCTATGCTCATAGAACAGGCTCGAGCCCTTTCTCGCACTGGAATGAAAAAACACCTCCGTGTTCTCCCCATGTATGCTGGGCTGCCTTCTCCTGACCAAATGAAAGTGTTTGAGAGAGTTTCTCACAGTGTCAGGAAGGTGAGGCTGTTGTGTATGTCTCAATTTCTACCACCCAGGAGGGTGTTTGCATTACACAGATTGTTTATACCAGGTTCACATCATGACTACTGCAAGTGCTTACTGAGGGGGACTTTCTGCATCTCCTAACACTGCCTGTCGATTTTCGAACTGTGAACCAGAACATGTTCTCTGACTTCCCTTTTTATCTTTGATCCATCCTAGACATGTCAGTTTTAACTCTCCTGTCTGCCTCATCAACTTTTCCATTTTTAAGAGTCTTCATACAACCTTGTATTTGTCTACATCCAGTTTCAGCTTCTTACGCTCTGAAGTCCTCTACTTTTACTTGGTTTTATTTCTTTTTGTGGTCTAAGTGTCTATGGCTGTTTTCCACCAGTAATGGAAAAATTAGTGACGGAGTGGGTAGGTGCTGTGTTTTCACCTAAGAAGCAAGATGAAACTTTGTTTTGACTTCTGCAAGTCTTGTTTGGATATTTTATGTCACAGAAGTGTATAATTGGTCATGATTAGTGCTTTCTGCTTAGGCAGAACCTGTGTTGGGGCTGCGATAAGCTGACAGAATTACACAGTGGTGACTTGTTATAATTCTTGTGCCTGCTGGAGTATAGCAAGTAAAATTGTTCATCTGGTATTAGAGAACATCGAGTATAAATACTTCTTTTCTCTCCAGGATATGATATTAGTCAATTAACTTCCAAGATTTACTTTTTTAATTTAAGGTGAAATAAGGATTAAATTTCCTTCTGTCATCTGGGAACAATTATTTTTTAATATTTTAGGACATATGTATAAGTGTGTCTCTGCAGGAATACTGAACATGGAATGCTTAATCAACTCTGTTCCCCTCCTATTCCCTGCCTCACTCCGATGTTACAAGTTAACAGTTCAAAATAACTGAGAAGCAGAAAGAAAGTATTTTTAGTTTGCTATGTAAGAACACTTAATTTACGGTCAATTAATGTTTTCTCTGCGAACACTGCCAAGTTCCTCTTTTACAAAGAGAGAATAAATTTGAATAAGAAAGTGATTGTGAAGCTGTAAAAACTGGGCTTATTTCAAGCTGACAGCTCTTTGAGAGTCGTTAAGCGTTGGAATGGGCTCCCCAGGGAGGTGGTGGAGTCACCATCCCTGGAGGTGTTCAAAAAACCTTTAGATGTGGCGCTTCAAGACATGGTTTAGTGGGTTTAATGGGTTTAGCAGGCATGGTGGCATCAGGTATACAGTTGGACTTGATGATCTTTGAGGTCTCTTCCAACCATAATGATTCTATGATTCTGCTGCATGTACTGTATCCTTTTGTACTCTAGAATGTGTTTACTGGAACTATCATATCTGAGATCTTTTGTGTGGCTTGTATTTGAGTCCTGATGCACTGATGTTGGGGCTTGGTAGTGTGATTGAGTTTGGGGAGTTCACAGTATCCTCGTGTCTGTATCTGTAGGTCATAGTAGCCACCAACATTGCTGAGACCTCCATCACAGTTCACGGAATTGCATTCGTAATTGATTGTGGTTTTGTGAAGCTTAGGGCCTATAACCCCAAAACAGCCATCGAATGCCTTGTGGTGGTACCAGTATCTAAAGCTTCGGCTAATCAGAGAGCAGGACGTGCAGGACGGAACCAGAAAATGTTACAGGCTTTATACAGGTCAGTAATTTGATGTTTAGGGAGATGAACTTGCTGATGTGACTTCCATTTTGTTTTACAGTGGTTGTAGTGTTAGATTAAAGAGAACAAAACTGTCTTTATTCTTTCAGCAAGAGATAGAAATTTCCTTTTGTTATTCCTCTGGCTTATTTAGAAATACATTTTTCATATGTGCTAAGCGTTGGAGACTGAATCCTTTTATGAATCAGAAACACAAATTGAGCGGGGTAGGTACTATGAGATTGTCAGCAATTGCAAACCTGTAATATTAATGCAACTCTTAGAGTGGTGAGTCTGCTAAGAAGTTTATTTTTTAATGCTTTTGGTTTCTGAGCAGTTGCTTCCATTTATAATACCCACCTACAATGCTCTCTTCTGTGACTAAAGTCTCCTTTAGACTGTGCCTCTTGACAAAGGACTCTGGAAATCCTTTAGATAACTGAGGGAAAACTTCTTTGTGTCTCCTTTTTCATAGGAATAGGTGCCAACCCCACATGATTCTCTTGAATCAATGACTTTGGCACTGTACAAAAATTACTGTTACAAATAAATCTGTTGGCCACCTAGCAGTGTTCAGAAAGCTGCAATCCAACTGTCTCTGTTCTCAGATGTTTATTGAGAAAAGGCATTGGAGTTGAGCTCTGCCATTGCTTATGTGCCTCAGGTTCCCTCTAGTTTTACCAGAGCTTTGAGACTTAAAAAGATCAAGCATATTCTTTTAAAATGTGTGTGTGCTTGCCAGCAGTTGCCACATTAAACAAAGACATGATTTATTCTCTAAATTTGTGTGTCCAGCAAGAATCAGGAGAGAATGTCTGCTGCATAGTATATCGAGCTTAAATAGCTTTTAAAGTATTTTACTGGAGAAACCATGACTATGCTGAAGTTATTTTTGTGTACTCAAGAGCTGGCCTAATGAGCACTTTAAGAAACATTTTAACGGAGGAAAAAAAAAAAAAAAAAAGAAAAGAAGAAAGTGCAGAGTGGACAGAAGTAGAGAAAGTGTACACTGTCTTTGTCTTTGGGAAGGCCTGAGACAGACCAGAGATAGAGGAGGGTTCTGTCTAGAAATGAAAATAATTCAGGTGAAAAGAATGTATTTCTTGTCTTGATTTGGAGTTTTAGTTCAACATTCAGATGCGTGTGACTTTTTGTTTAGTGCAGAAGACTTGGTTAATGGAAAGTGCAGGGATTTTGACCTTAGATGAAGTATTTTTCCAGACTTAGACTTTATAGCAAATGTGCTTTTAAGTAGGCATTGTTAAATAAATTGTTTTTCAATCCTTCAATGCTTTTTAAAGGTCCTTTTTTTTTTGAGTGGTTACTAAAAAGAATGTTCTTATACTGAAAGCACGCTGGTTTTGAAATTTTCCATGTCCCTCCTTGAAAAAAAAAAAAAAGCCTTTTTGTAGTATTGCACCCTGCCTTTTATTTTCTGATAAAAATATTAAACAGAAGAAAAATAAAGCATTTCCAGATTTCTGTGAAGAATTTATAACATTTCAAAGTGAAGTATGGGTGGGTCAACTACAGAATCAGCAGTGTAGCCAAAACCATTGAATTTTCTATTTAAATTGGAATATCTTAAAATACTTTAAATATCTTTGAAATACTTAAAATAGATTTCTTTTAACACCTGTTAGGTATTCATACTCAATAATTTTAACTTAAGGCGGGTATGATGCTATTGTGTTGACTGCGTAGGGTGGGATTTGAAACTCAGTCCCAAACTGCCTTGTTTTCTCATGCAACAGAGGAGGACTTTGAGAAGTTGCCAAAGTCCACTGTTCCTGAGATGCAGCGCAGTAACCTTGCACCTGTCATCTTGCAGCTGAAGGCATTGGGAATCGACAACGTGCTCAGGTTCCCCTTTCTTTCGGTGAGTCCTAGGCTGTAACGTATGTCATCTTTCTTTAGTGTGAAGAAAGATCACTAGATGACCTGTTGATAACTCACAGAACCATTAAGCAGTAACCATTGCCATGTTAATTTGGAAAGAATACCTCAGTGACCACTATCGGGCAGCAAAATATGTTTTTGGGAATCAACTAGTGCAAGTAATGTGTGTGACAACTTAGAAGCAGCAACTGTTTGTGTTCTAAAGTTTGCTGTGTTGAGAAGTCGAGAAAGGCGTAGAAAGACAAACTCTGAGATTCTGCAAAACTGTAACTGTAGTCCCTTTGGATTAAATTTATGAAGGAAAAAAAAAAATCTACAGAACTAAACCTATGTTTGTCTATCTTGTTAAAAAGAGCAGTACCAATTTTTAGATTTGCTTTCTGTGAAGTTTTTAGCTACTCTTGTATTGATGTGAAAAACTAGTCAAGTAGCATTTGAAGAGAAAGTTAAGTAATTGTTCTGATCGCCGCTGAGATCACTGTTGGACAAAGCAAGTGTGCCTTTTCTAGCTTGGATCTTGAGAGCATTGTAGTGATGATGCTGAGCCTGTTGTGGTGGTTTTGACGCACAGCACTGGCGGTCAGTGGAAAGGTGATAGGAAGGGTCTTCTTCTTCTGAAGGAGCTCTTTCTTCATTTTGCATAAGTAGAAAGATAGGTAGTTGGAACTTAAGGATTTTGCGAAAGAGGAAGATCTAAGAATTTTTATGAAAACTTATGTGTTCTATGATGATAACTTTAAACAATGCACATTTTTTCTTCACAGCCACCCCCTGCACAGTCAATGGTGCAAGCTTTAGAATTGCTGTATGCTTTAGGAGGTAAGAATATTATGCTTTTCTTTATTTGTAGTTATGTTACAAGAGTTATGAAAAAATTATTAATTTGGATTTGGTGATTGGATTGACATTAATCAAACTTGCATTTAAGAGCTGTGCTTGGAGGAAGAGAAAACGCACCCTTGACTGGTGGAAACTTTTTGTTAGTGTGTTTTTAAAATGTACCTCATTCTCCTCTGAATTTGCTTTCTCTTCCTCTGGTTATTTCAGACAGGTAAGCAAGAAAAGGCAGGAGTAACTTTCTGGGAGGAACCAGAAATCTATTGCACAGAGTATAAACTAGAATGTAACTGTTTAGATTGGGCAAATGTGTATTTTATAGCTATCTTTTGTGTATCTTCTTGCACCATCATGGGAGGAACCAGCTATCTGTCTGCGAACACCACTGATGAGAGTGTTGGCTTGATTCTCTTAGGTAGATCCTCTGCATTTCTTCACTTCTTACAGAGTGGTATGAAGATACAAATGGAGTTTGGATGCTAATTAGACCAGTAAATGAGTTAGACACTAAATTTACCTGCATCCAATTAGATAAGCTGTTAGATACTGACGATCTTAGTGTGGTGATCTTTCATTTTGTGTTACTGTACCAGTGATGGAAACATATAGCACTTGCAAGTATAAACAAAAGAAAGTTGAAAGTAAAGGTTTGACATCTCTTTCACAATCAGACTGATTGTAATAGCCTAGAATTTAGCAAGCTTAATATAATTACTACTTTGCTTATTCATTGATCAGACTTTAAAAAGCATAGTGTATCTATTTTAAATTTTTCTATTTGCGTGTTACGTTCATTATCTGATCTTGACGTGTGTGCAGGAACTCTGCCTAAATATTGTAAGTAAAATCTGATGCTTGAGTTTGGCAGAGGGCAGTCACTGGAGGCTAGCATGAAACCCAACAGAGTGTGCTTCTCGATGGCTTAGCAAAGCAAGGGTCACATGTTAGTTTTCAGACCTTCTCGTTGATACGATTTTGAAGGTATGACTGACAAAATTTATCAAGAGCTAATCTAGTTATAATTGAAAAAATGAGTTCTAGTCCGTGCCTCTGCTCTGAATGTAGTACGGTTTATGGCTAAGAGACTACACCTCATGTAGTGTGGTGCTGTTGATGTTAATGTTGTTGGTCCTCAGCTGAGACAAAGTTCAAACCTTTAGCAAGTCAACTGTTCTATCAGCTATGAATACATGATGCAACCACTCAAAAAAAGCCCTGATCATTCCTAAAGGCAGCACCTTTCCTCATGGATGAATTGGAACTATGTTTCTCACACTCAGTGTCTCTGTGACAGTGCACAGCCTGCTTGCTTTTCATGCTTTTAAATGCTTAGGAGCTCATTTGCATGCAGCTCACAAAGAGAGTCTGCTCTAGTTTTAGTTTTGAACTTCTGATTGTGGACAAATGAACAGATACACACAAACTTCTAATGAGAAGAAGAAAAAGCTAGTCTAACAGACCTTGAGAGCATAATTCAAAGCACTTTTCTACTATTTAGCTACTTAATAGAATATCTCTTTTTATTATCTTCTCTGAATTACTAATCACAGCTTGTTCTCAAATTTGGTAGACAGTCTGAACAATGCTCTTAGTCATATGGTTTAGTTTTAGGTAGGCTTGCGAGGAGCAGGGAGTTGGACTCGATGATCCTTATGGGTCCCTTCCAGCTTGAGATATTTTATGATTCTAAATGTGTTAATTTTGGTTTTATTCATTATGCTGCTGTTGGATACCTATAACACTCAAATTGCACTGTAGTAATATTTTTATACACAGTTTTCAATACCTGTTTGTTGTGGTGACTGGAATGTATGCTGTCTAATTTTGTTTATAGGAAGAACTGTTATATTGTTGGTTTTTTTGACAGCTATTTATTCTTCTTGGATGCAACAAACTTAAAGTAGAAACTTGACACAAGAAAAAGTAATCGAAGTGAAACTCTGTTTGACTTTAACTCAGTGTTTGTAGTTAATTCAAAGTTAACAATATTTGCTCTATAATGTAAACATGAGGAAAAGTGTAGTGTAAAGGAGACTCTGTAGGTTTTAGAAGCTTCTAGAGGTTTGTGGCTGGTTTTGCATCACTTACAAATGCTGTATTGTAACTTGTCAGTCTGCTCTCTTCTTATTCTCAGGGAGCTGTGACTCTGTACTTGGCCACGGTTTTGCTCTGTGCTGATTCAGTTCCATCTTGCAAAGGAGGGTTTCACTTAAGGCACTTGGTTCTTGGCAGCCTTTTCAAGCTTGGAACAAGGACCTTCACAGTGGCGCCGAAGCATGTTGCAGGGATGAATTCACAGCCAAAACCACCTTAGGGAAATGTAGAGGAAAGGTCAATAAACTCACTGATTAGCTGTTTGATGTTTTGTCAAAAGTGTTATGCTCATGGTAGCTTCACAGAGAAGTACAGAGCTGTTACTCTCTTGGCTGCCCAGCTTTTATAGCAAAGCAGAGAAGTGCTGATGTTGGTGTTTAAGATGGAACGAAATATGTGTGCATCTGTGCAATACATGGATTCGCTCTCCAATTTTTTGCTGAAGTTTAGGGTTTTAGGTGGTTTGTTACGGAGATTTTATATAAGTTGTAGAGGTGAAGCTGCTCAAGTGTTTGCAGGTGCAGTAGGGATTAAATTTCTCTTATGCAAGCTAGAACATGTATTTCATCATTTGCATTGTAATAGCATGCAAATGTGCAGTTTAGGGTCAGGACCCTATTGTGCCAATACGGTGCCAAGAGAAAAACTTGTGCAGAGCAGATGCTCTTAAGGTTGAGATAGTTCTGTTGAATAAACACATCGCTGGTTTTAGGCTGATTATTTTTACAGTGATGCAAACTGATGACATCAGGAGTATCTCTTCTCAGCCTTCTCCTTTGATACCCCTTTGAAAGTCTGAGTTGTCAGTTGGAGTTTATTGTTTTTAATCATAATTTAGGAGGTAAATAAGCAGGTAAAAAGTGACTTTATTCTTAGCTTTACTTCAGATCCAAGATTTTGTTGAAGATTTGTTTTTAAGTTGTCACCTATCAGAAACAACCACTCCAGCTGAGTGTTTTAATCCCTCAGCCTGTCACGTACTAGTGGTTGTAACTTGAAACTTTTTGGTAACACAGTACTTGAATAACCCCTCCTGAGCACGTTCAATAAAAATCTTTGCAGTATCTTTTTCTAAGCAGAGCTTCAAATCTACAATTTCATATATATATACACACATATGGAGACACATAGATAGATAGATAGATAGATACATGTATAAAGTGGTTGCTTCCAAGACTATTTCAAGGAAACTTTTACCTATTCCAAACTAGTATGCATTGCCGGCCTATTGTGTATGTTCAGGCTTACTGCTACAAAGACATCTGTGCACAAGCTGTGTGTGTGTGTATATATATATATGTATATATCTGCATGCAAAATTGCTTTGAGATTTGTAGGATTCAGCAGAAGCCAAAGGATTTTGGCTTGATGTATCTGTAGAAAGTTAAAAAGATGGTAATTTCTCTTTTTTCCTATTTAGGAATGCAGTTATCTTTCTGTAGATGAAAGATGACATACTCTAAGCCATTAATTGTGATAGCACTAAAACTTCTCATATTGCACTGGTCAAGTGAAAGCTATCATACCTTAACTTTTACAGTTTCTGTGACTTTGTGTTTAAATATATTATTTCATCATTTCACATAAGCTGCCTTTTGTACTGTTTCTGAGGAAAACATTGTGATGTGAAAAGCCTATTAGGTTTTGTTGAAGAGTGTAAGGGTGTGGTGAGTGAATTAATACATTGTCATAATAAGTGAGATGATAGCATATCAAATAATAAAGGAAAATAAACACTTGGTAGAGGTATCTGTGGTTTTAGATATGCTGACGTGAGTTATAGGAGATCTCATTCCTTCATTTGTGGTTTTGCTTTTCTCTGTGAAACATAACTGAAGTACAACTGTGGTTTTTTTGCTACCACAGTTTGACAAATAATATGTTTATATAATGCGTGGGCTACAGTTGAGTTTCCTCAGTCCACTCTACTGTGGTGATTTATGCAATCTACAGTGCCCCAAAGTCCTGTTATCGGCTTCTCGTTAGTCCCTCCTGTGCAGATTTTTCTCTTCTATTCTGCCTCCTTGTCATACGATATACAACTTGGCTGACAGTTTAGTTATTGATCCATCAAGCAGACTAAACTGTAGAGAATCTTCATCAGATCTATATCTCTAGTTTGCATTATATAAAGCTTAAATTATTTTTCTCTGTGACATAAGCAGATGTGACTCAGAAAAATGACACCCTACCCCACACCCCCCAGCAGTGCTTCCTCTTTCTATGGTTATGCCTGTTCCATAATTATGCCCATTTTTATTCTCATCGGGACTCCTTCTGCTTCCTCTCCCCATGAGCAAAGATGTTGCTAAATGCTTAAAAAGGAGAAGCATAAGTCTAACAGCTTACGGGGACTCTGGCCATTGCAGATTTTCTAAATCAATGGCAGTAGCAATGGAACTTGGTCAAAATGAAGAAACTTGTGCGTTCATATATATTTGAAAAAAAAATAAAATATACTGGTGATCCATGGGAGAGTAAATGGATATTAAGGAGTGCCTTTAAGCTTAGTTTAATATGTGTTCAGCAACTCTTAGGTGCATTTGCTGTATTTTAGCTTGTAATTTTGCTCTTTAATACACATTAAATTGTTAAAGAAGACTTTGTGGGCTATGTCGCCTGTGTCACAGCTACACTTATTAATATGCTGCAGGTTTGGATATGCACTGCCGTTTAACAGAGCCTCTTGGAATGAGAATAGCAGAGTTTCCTTTGAATCCTATGTTTGCAAAGATGCTTCTGGAATCAGGTAGGAGAAAAAAAAATCAGATTTTCTTCATAGTCTTGTCATGAGTAGAGGACACTGCCTCTTGTAGTGTAGTATTAGACATTTACTTAACTTGAAACAAACTGTATGCTTCATCTTGGTATGGTGTTTAGTGAAAAGAATTGGTTAAAGTCATGGAACTCTGTAATAAATAATAAGTGTAACACATTTAACACACTAATAACACTGACACATTTGTCTTCCGAGTTTTCCATTAAAAATATTCACTGTTACACTAAAAAAATCCAGGAGTTTAAGTATTTTTCTTTTATAGACTGTAAAAATATATTCTGCTTCTTTTCCTTTTTATTCTATATGGAGGTAAGTTGAATGGAAGAAGATTTCCTTTACTGAATTTCTCCACTTACTCCTCAGGAAATTTTGGCTGTTCCCAGGAGATTTTGACAATTGCTGCCATGATGCAAATTCAAAACATTTTTGTGATCCCTCCAAATCAAAAAGCTCAGGCTGTAAGTTCAGTCATGTCTCATTTTCTTTTTGTTAGTTCCACATTTCTGGATGTCTGCCAAGTATTTTATTGATACCCATTACAGACTGCAAGTTCGTATGAAAATGAAGCAAGATCTTGAATTGTACTTATTGGTTATAGGTAAAAGAAGAAACTGAGTAACAGTAGGAACCTCAGAGTCCTTTACTAGTGTTAAAAGCCTCCTTCTGAGGACCAGAAACATGAAAGGTTATAAACCAATATTGGTCAGCATAAGAGTTTGCCAAAAAAAACCAAACCTCCCTAAACAGCACTTCCTTTCAAGAGAAACACAAAAGAAAGTATTGGGATGTAGCAAGTTCTTAATAGGTAGCAGGAGCTTAATTTTAATGCATCCCACTCTTGGATTTTGGGGGTTCATTTTCAGTTCATTCTTCTAATTTCAGTTTTAGAAGTGCTCCTGAATATAAGTAGGCTAGTAAATTATTGCTGTTGCCTAGAGGAACTACCCTACATGGTAAGAATATTAATAGTCACTAGGAAATGCAGAGATGATGGGAACTGAGCATATTGGACATGATTTCTGTAAAAACCATTCTGCCTATAAAAATATACTACTTCTTCTCCAGGCCAGGCAACACAGAAAGTTTGCTGTAGAAGAAGGTGATCATCTCACTATGCTTAATGTTTATGAAGCCTTTGTCAAAGTAAGTCAGTTCAAGTGTATATGGATTTGCAGGAATGGGAAACACTTAAGGTCTTCAAGTTCTGATTCTGGAAGTTGTGGATATAGCATCCTCAAAGCTGAGAACTTACTAAGTCTATTAAGTGGTAATTCTTCTTTAAAGGATATTCTGGTCATATTTTACCACAAACCTTCTGTAGTTCTTCTGAATAGGGAATAGGAAGAATTTGGTTTGGGTACAGCACAGAAGTCTTATGGGTAGACAACTGTATTTTCAAGGAGACTGGGATTTTTGAAAGGGCCTAGGAAAAATAGATATCCAAATTCCAAATGAAATTCATATTCTCTCATCTTTTCTATAGGTGTATCAGAGTTTTACTGATTGTAAACTAAATCTAACAGTCTTTTTTTTTTTTTTTAAATTGTCTCATTGAAACAGAGAGTATGACAATCAGTGACCTTATGTATTTACCCTAAGGTTTAACACCAATCTTATTACTTCTCTGTAAGATGAGGTTTTACTTAATGGTTTTGAAGTGCTTGTAGCTATTTGGGAAAACTATATTTTGCTGGTAGAGAGCACGTCTGTAATAATATATTTGCAACAGTGTTCAGTTGAAGCAGTATAACCACTCAGGTGTTTAAAAGATGACTTCCCTCTTCCCGACCCCAAAGCAATCAGTCAGACACCAACTGAAATTTTGCCATTTAAATTTTACATCTGCCTAATTCTCTTACAAACAGCCAAATGCAGAGGCTGTTGGACTAAGTGCTGGCTTCTGGAGAAATAGCTCTTTGCATAGAGAAGACCAGTGAAAACAGTGTACGGAAAATGTTGTTTACATTTTGAGACTGAAAACAGCCTAGTTTATATACGATGCTTTTGTGTGTGAGAATGGAATGACTGATGCTATTCTGTTTCACCACATATGAAGAAATGAAGCACATCTGTATGAAAATAGCCCATGGCATTTGTTCCGCTGCTATTTAGATGTTGTTTGCAACATGTTTTGTAGTTACTGGTGTTATGTAGCCTGGTTAGTTGCTATGTAAATAGGTAATTTTCAGGGAAAACCTCAATATATATGTTGTAGGAGAGAGAAGAAAAACAGAACAAGGCTATGTGATCCAAGAGATTGGGTTTTGTTTTGCTGATAGTGTTTCATTGTAATCTTTTCTATTCTTCTTGCTATACAGCACAGCAAGAGCTCGCAGTGGTGTCAGGAACACTTTCTCAACTACAAAGGGCTTGTTAGAGCTTCTGTTGTAAGAGAGCAGCTGAAAAAGCTCCTTGTCCGCTTTAAAGTGCCAAAGAAGTCCAGTGAAGGTGAAATTTTTTTTTTTTAACCTGTTGTCCAATACATATTGAAGGTAGTCTCCAAATTGTCAGTCTGCTTCCTGCTTTTCTTTTAACCTTTGAAGTATTTTCTCCCTAGCCTAAAAATAATGTTAATTAAAACCATATTTTTCTCCTAAAAATGACTACAGAAGAGCATTTTAGCCCATTTTTACAATTAACATGTAGTCAAGTCTTCATTAGTTAAGTTTTCCAGCAAGAGATTGTCACCAGTGATTAAATATGTAATGGACAGACTTACCAAAAGAGTCATAAACAGATCACCTTGTTTCCTCTTTTGACTTTTCAAAAAGCTGTTTTTCTAGTACATTCAAAACAATGTACAGTTATTGGGAATCTGATTTCCAGCTGTGCTGTGCGTGCATGGATGCCATGGCTACGTTTCAGCACTTGTCTCTAACTGCTCTGAAAAGTCAGACTTCTGTGCTTAGCTGTCACACAAGATTGCTTTAAGGACTGGAAAACTATCTTCATGGAGACACCAGTGGCAATGGTAGTTTTTTACGTAGTAATTTTGATGTGCTGTGAAATTGAAGTCAAAAGAGATTGCAGGGTTTGGCTGCCTTCAAGCCTTTGCTATCAAAGCCTGGTGCAGTGTGAAAAGTTGTGAGATGATTAAGTGGTATTTTAGGGATTTTTGCCGTTCCATTGACTCAATTTACACAATAATTCTTTTCTTCAGGTGATCCAGATCCCGTTTTGAGATGCATAGTTTCTGGATTCTTTGCTAATGCAGCTAAATTCCACTCTACTGGAGCTTACAGGTAAATCTATATAGCTTCATTACAACTGTTGCATAGTTTAAAAGCTCCTTTGACTGGATACGTCTAAGTATAATCAACAAGCAGATGCTTCTCTAGACACCTGCAATAAGAAACACATAACATTTGATTTACTAAATATTTTAAGTTTTGTATCTTCAAACTGCTTCAATGTTTATCTCTTCTATTTGGCAAATGTAAATAGAGTTATTGACAGTAGGAAGCTGTTACTAATAGTAATTAGCTTGTGTTAATACAAGCAAGTACAGTGTCTCTGTTGTAGCACTTCCAGTGCACTGAATAAAAGCCTGAAACACTACGTTTTCTTCTAGTGTAGACGGAACTCGTTTAGGATGTTAAATTATCATTTCTTTCTTTGGCCAAGATTTAAGCCTGGTTTCATCTGAAAGCCTGTTCATTAAATGCAGATGTTTTTCATTTGCTCCAGCTCTTTCATTGTTGCCTTTTATTAAACATTCTTACTGGGGATGAAAGAAACCAAATGTTAAGCAATAAATAGACGCACAATCTGAAATAATATCTTGCTTTCAAGGACTATCCGTGATGACCATGAACTTCATATCCACCCCACTTCAGTGTTGTATGCAGAGAAACCTCCACGCTGGTAAGTTAAAGCTGCTTTCACTTGCTTTGTGATCTTTACAAGACGTTCTCAGCATCCAGACATTTTCATGAGTGACTTTTCCCCATCAGTGGAGAAATAGATGTAGAAGGTCATGGTTCCCACAGAAAGAATTAAATTGGTATTTCCTTTGCATCTTTTTGTAGGCAGTATCCAAATAAATCAGGGAAATAGAGTGACGTTAACTGTCAAAAAAACCTGCAAAAGTTGGAAAACAGAGTCAGGTGACCCTTTTTTAATAGGCAGGATATTTTGCACTGCATATTGGTCTCAAAGTGGTCTCTGTACCTAGATAGAATTAGGATTAATTTACTTTTATGAAGCCTATTAAGTAAATGTCCTGTCAAATAGATGCTGCAGTAATTGCAAATGGCTGGCTAGGAGAGGGCATACATGTCAAATGCATAATGCAAAAAGTTTGAGAGAAGTTATGGCTGTCTAGCAGATTGAGGAAAGAAGTGGTTGTACCTTTGTATTAGCTGGGGTATTACAATTCCATTTGTCTGCCAAAGACGCTCAGATAACAATTAGAAATGTGTTTCTACCTACCAGGTCAGCATGATCAACCTGAAGTATTTGGACTCTTGTCCTTTGCCTGTTGTTAAGACTCTGAAGGATAAACTTGACCAGTGTCATCTGTTATCTTTGAATTTGGGCTCCTACACCTGTTGTGTAGGGTTTGCAGAGGTGTAACTGATTGAAACGTAGCCATCAATTACATTGGCTCACAAAATAAAAATAAGTCCAGCTCACTTGTTCTTAACTGTACCAATCCTTCATGGCTGAGTTGAGCTAAAGTAATTTTTGCCACTGAAACCAGCCTGATTCACTTCTGTTGTGCCAAGTTTTTTTAACGTCCTGTCACTGCTTTTAAAAATAAAACACAGTTTGTTTGAAATAACAAAGAGAATACTTTGCAGATATACTTGTGAAATTTTCTAGCTTACAGGATGTAAGTAAGATCCTGAAAGATTATAATAATAAGACAATAATAAGAATAAATTGAGAAGAAATTAATCTGGAAAGAAAATCTAGTGGTAGGAGAGTACTGGAAGAATTCTTTGCTCCAGCACACACTCCCTCCAGGGCTCAACTTTTAGATGATGAGCCCTCAGCATGGAACTTCCATCCCAGCCTGAGGCACTTCCAGACATATAGAAAAGCAGAACTGTAGACAGGTAGCTGGAGGTCTTAACTGGCAAAACCTTAAGACTGCTCTTTGCTTCACAGCCTGTTTGCTGTTGGTGGCAGCAGTATTGCTAGAGTTTTTGGAAATACTGATTCTGGGCTGAAATCTCTTTTTGGACCCCTGTCTTGCAGAACAGGCACAGAGCTGTCTTCCAAGGCTGTGTGGTATTGCCACTGCCAGCCTAAAGATGCTGCTGGCTCATGGCATCTTATAAGACAGGAGTTTAACTTGCTCAGCAACGCTGGTTTCAGTGCTGCTGCTGCCTGAGCACCCATCCTATGTTAAGGGCTTCAGTTCTCTGTCTGTCACAGTGTATATAAAATGCGTAGTCATTCTTGTTTGTTTTCGTCAGATTTCTTTTTAGCTCTATTAGTTGGTATGTCTCAGGCTGCATTTGGCAGAGAAGACAATTTTGGACTGTTTCCTCTTTGCTTTTGAGAGTAAAATACGAATTAATGAGAGACGACAGACCTTGTGGTTTTGCACCTCTACTGTGTATGGAAGGCAGATAATGGCTTACTGTTTTGGTGACTAACCCTTCAACACGTGGGTTTGTGCTTCCTTGGTAAAAATGACTTTCCTTACTGAAGGGTGACTTCAGAAATAGGTTGCCCATGCCAGCAACCTGTTCATGCTGGCAGCAGGGATTGAGTCCACATGACTGTCCATTTCTAAATCTCTTACCAGGTGTTCTGGCAGTAGTTAAAGAATGATTTCTTCCTCTAATCCTCATCTTACTTGTCTGCAGACAGGCACCAGGCATAGTCATGCTGTGATTTGTGCCCTGGTTGTTACAGGTCCGGGGTTTTGGTGCTTTTGACATCCTTCCTTGTGGTATCACAATGTAACTAATATTCTCTCTTCCAAAGCATCTGTTATGAGTCGCCCTTGGCCCCATTATAAGAAATATTCTTTCTCCTATACCTTGTATCCATATGTCCTGGTAGTATGTGAAGTAGTTTTTAATGGCAGTCTAAAGGTTGTCTTTAATGTAGAGTACTCTGAACAACCAGAGG